TCCTAGCACTTTAGGCAAGAGGATTTCTGTGAATTCAAGGCCAGCCTGGGCTACATAATGAGTTCAAGGCTAGCTTGAAAGACAAAGCGAGACCCTGTCTCAAAACAGCAACAACAAGAAAACAAAGATTACTAACTGGAGTTGAACATGGTGGTATAGGCCTATAATCCTGTCAGAGACTGAGGCAGGAGGATCACACGTTTGAGCCCAGCCTAGGTAATTTAGTGAGACTGTTTCAAAAGTAAAATGGCTAGGGATGTTAGCAAGAGTCTTTTCCAGTGTAGCTTCAGTATTAACTAGAGTCTTTTCTCTAAATCTCTTAAGTTTTGTAAAGGCAGATGTTATGGTAGAAAGGAGATGAGTATTGACTTGTTATTATGAGTGATATGAAAGTGGCAAAGATCCTTTTCCCTCCATTCTGCTATTTTTCCAAAAGAAATGCGTATGTGAAATAGCAGAGTAGGTGGTAACCTTAGAAAAGTGGGTTCTTAAGTAGTTTGCTGGGTTCCATGATGCTTATAGTATTTGTGAGACTTAGGCAAATTACTTAATCTTTCTAAGCCTTAATTTCATATCTATGAAAAGAATTTAATCATACCTACTTTGTATGATCCTTACAAGGATTAAGTGAAATATTGTGTGTAAGGAACTCGTCATAGTACGATGGCACCTAGGGAGCGCTCATGCTTGTGACTAGGCTATTTACTGTCATTTTACTTTATGATTAAAGACAAGAGTATTTTTTTTCTCAGAACTTGGTTTAGTGCTTTTCAGTAGTTTAGATTACATTAATTTGGCACATAGTACAGACTTGCTGGTGGTTATAATGAAAAATGTGAATAAACTTTTAGGCAATAATTTATTTTTGTAATGTACTGTAAATAACCCACGTATAGGATTCTTCTCGCCTTCAGAACCCTCAAGCTTTCTTGGCTCCCTTCCTGCCCACTAGAAAGCAAATACAGCAAAAGGAAAGAAAATAAACTGGGAATGTCAAAGATTGAGAACAGTAATGCTGATGCCTATGTTCCCAGAGCTGGACTAAACAAATTGAGCACATAGTGTTGGATAGTTGTTCTACTTTTCACTGTAGAGGTAGCTGCTTTGGTTATAGGGGCACAGGTAATTCTTTCGTTTGGGTTGAGAGTACAGGTTTTGAAAAACTCATGTTTTTGTCAGTCTCTTTATTACCTTTGATTTTGACTCTGTCATCTTGGGACACGAAGAGAAATGGCCTGCCTATAGATTTGAGAAATATAAATTCCTTGGGGTTAAAAAAAAATCCAGTTCATTGGCTGGGTGTGGTGGCACACACCTGTAATCCCAGCATTGTGGGAGGCTGAGGTAGGAAGTTCACCATGAGTTCGAGGCCAGCCTGGTCTGTGTAGTGAGTTCAAGACCACCCTGAATTACAAAGCTCAGAAAGCCAAAAATAAAAATAAATAAATAAAAAAGTGTCCTCTGTGGTGAGGGTGGGGATGACTGCTATGGAGTAGCAGATCTCTTGAAATTATGAAAGGATGAAGTCTTTGCATAGATGTGCCAAGTTTTAGAAAATACTTCTGGGAGAAAATACCTAGAGAGCCTGCCCATTATTTATTACTTATCCCAAGGCTGAGCCACTGATTACTGGTGACAGGTGTGGGAGAAATATAATTTAAAGTAATTAAATATGGGATAAAATAGTGACATTTAGGTCCTACTGGTAATGTTTGTGTAACTCTGACACTGAGCAGTGTTGTATGTGAACAGTAGTAGCTCAATCTCTGAAGCAGCATTAAGAGAATAGCCAGCTGGGGCTGGGGATCCAGTAGCTCAGTGGGAGCACACCTGCCTTGCAAGTGCCAGGTTCTGAGTTCGAGCCCCAGTAAACCCCCTGCCTCCCCCCCAAAAAAAACGAGCCAGCTCCAGTGCATACATATTAAGCTGAAACATTTTCCTCAGTTACTGGGCAGACATCATGAATCTCATGGGTTCTTGAAAAGAGTCCAGTCTGTGTCTCTCAGAGAGATGACTCCAGCTATCACCTTTTTTCAAAATTATTTTATACTGTTCAGAATCTTTTGTGACTTTGCTGAGTATTTCAAGCAAACACTTGGCTTTCTTTGTAAATTTTCAGAGACACCACTGTGGTGTTTCTTCCCCTTCTGTTCCCCCATACGTAAATGGAGCTTTCTCTAAGCAGGGTTCAAAAATTCGTTTGGAGGGCTGTGGATTTAGCTCATTGGGGCCACCGCCTGCCTGCCTTGCAAGCTCAAGGTGTCCTGAGTTTGATCCCTGATACCGAAAGAAAAAAAAAAAAAGTAGTTTGGATACTTTCTACTAATCTGCAGTTAGTGAAACCTGTTTTCCATATCTCTGATTTAACATTTGTTGAACAAAGAAATTTGTTTTATGAGTATTTCTTACTATTTCTTTACTTATGATTATTGAGTCTATACTTAAAATTTAAGTTTTGATGCCTGACATCAGAGCACATGCCTATAATCCCAGCATTTACTGACACTGGAGAATCACAAGTTCAAGATGTGCCTGTGTTGATTTAGTGGAATCCTTCAATAGAGAGAGAGAGAGAGCCGGGAGTCGTGGCACACGTCTGTAATCCCAGCCCTTGGGAGGCTGAAGCAGGAGGATCGCTGTGAGTTCGAGACCAGCCTGGGCTACACAGTGAGTTCCAGTTCAGTCTCAACTACATAGTGAGACCCTCTCTCAAAAACCACCTCACAAAACAAAAAAAAAAAAAAAAAAAAAAAAGGAGAAAGGCTAAGGGGTATAGCTTAGTGGTAGAGCATCCTAGATTTGACCCCCAGTACCACCACCAAAATTAGTCATTCTAGAAACAACATGCTGTATATTAAACTGTGTTAGTGCTGGACGTGGTAGTACAAGCTTACAGTCCCAACCTCAATTTTGCGTCAGCCTCTGAAGTGTTGGGATTATAGGTGTGCACTGCCATGCCCAGCTTTTCAGATTTAGTCTTCAAATAATTTGCTCTCTGGCTGGGGATTTAGCTGAGTCGATCCACTGCCTGCCTGCAAGTGCAAGGTCCTGAGTTCAATCCCTAGTCCCCCCCCACCCCCAAATTTCTCTCCTAAGAGTCCTAGGAGAATTACCTGAATCCCTTCCTAGATCATGCCACGAATGACTTAACCAGCTTCCATAAGACCCTACCTTGTAAAGGTCACAACACCTCCCAACATCTCCACATTGGGAACAAAGCTTTTAACACTTAAACTCTTAGAGAAAAAAAACCCATCCAAACCATAATATAACCTTTATTCAGTGAGTTGCCTCTCTTTTCTGTTTGTGTGGACTTTAGTTCTTTGTACAAGGTTACCTTGCGTATTGTAACCAGTAAATTATTTTTTCTTTCAATTTTAAAATTTTGATCCTTTTATTTATTTATTTTGTTTGTTTTTAGAGATAGGGTTTCTGTATTTATCAAGTTCGTGGTGGGGCTGTAATTCTTATGCAGTATCTTGCTGCCAGGTATCTCTGATTTGAATTGACTGTCCCATTGGGTGCCTTGAACCACCAGTGGTATATGCATGACTGTCCCACTCAGTGGGCTACTTGTATTCTTCTCAGGGAGTCTTTGATTACAGTAAAGCAAAAAAAAGGCATTGATTTATCAGACCAGATGTCATCATACTACAACTTCTTAAAGAAAACATTAAAATGCTATTAAAAAATTCTTATTTGAGACATAGTCTTGCTGTTTAGTTCAGGCTGGCCTTGAACACACTATGTAGCCCAGGCTGGCCTCAAACTTGCAGCGATTCTCCTGCCTCAGCCTCCCAAGTGCTGGTGGGATTACAGGCATGCGCCACCACACCTGACTAAAAAATTGTAATACAGCTAATTTGTGGTGTAGCAGTTGTAAGTATATATTATATACACTAGCAGTAGGGTACTTATAAGATTTCCATGTTCAAATTTAGAGAATCATTTGGCGGGGGTGTTTAGACTGTGTCTTGCTTTATAGTTCAGGCTTGTTTCCCCCAGACTGGCCTCCAACTTGCAGTAGTCCTCTTGCCTCAGCTTCCCCTGTTTGTGGAATTAAGGGCATGTGCCACTGCCAGCACACCTGGCAAAATTTAAAGAATGAGTGTTGAAAACTTTACTTGTGAAGAAGTGCCACTTTATAAAAGCTTATTTAAGATGAGCAAGAAACATACTCAAACACTACAGAGAATGTTATCAAAAATTATCTGAAAAAATGAGTGCTGCTATAGTTACCAAAAAAAGCTAAACCTTATGACATTTTGTGCACTCTGCACAAACCAGCCACTTTTATTTATAAAATTTTTTTTTTTTAATTCATGAATATGGCCCAGGGATTTAGCTCAGTGATTCTGCTGCCTGCCTCACAAGTGCAAGGACCTGAGTTCAATCCCTGGTACCAAAAAAATAATAAATAACAAATTCATGAATATAGGGCCGAGGATTTAGTTCAGTGATGCCATCACCTGCCTCACAAGCATAAGGTCCTGAGTTTGATCCCTGGTACCAAAAAAACAAAAAACACAAACAAAAACCACACACGCAAATATAAATAAATTGCTTTTAATTTAATGAAATAAATTTGTTGATTATTGTAATAATTTTAATTGGTATAAATAGTATTAATTTTTATATTTGGGTAATATTCAAATCAAGCATCTAACAGATTTGGTCCATTTATAGATTTTATTAATTTCATTAGTAAAAAGTTCAATAAAAGTGATTAGATCCATTCCTACCACCAGCGGTTCAGGCCACCTGATGGGACAGTCATGCTTGTACTGTCGGCAGTTGAAGCCAAAGGGAATGTGTTAAATTTTGAGACAGCCTCTGAGTTGCCTGAGCTATCTTCAGAAAACTTGAGATTCTCCTGCTTCAGACTCCCTAGCAACTAGGACTACACATATGCCCCACCATATGCCTGGCTAATAACTTCCTTCCTATTTACTTTGTGGATAGCTTGTTTCAACGGTTTTTTTGTTGTTCTTCCTAAACAGTCTGAAGATGATGAGAAGCTGAAAAAGAGGAAGGAGCGATTTGGGATTGTCACAAGTTCAGCTGGAACTGGAACCACAGAGGATACAGAGGTAAAACATACCTACGAAGCTTCATAGTGCTCTTGAAAGGAAGTGCTGAATGTTCTGAGAGTGGAGAAAACACCTCTATTTCTCCAGTCTAATTCTTAAGTTCCCAGATGAAAGGATTTGCCTTTTGCTTGATAACTTTCTTCTGGATGAAGTAGTCACACTGAATTCTATGAATGTACTTAATTCAGTATTACAGTCCATTAGCCTAGTAGCAAAGAACACAAGACTGGAAGTCAGGTAGGCTTGGATTTAAAAGTGGTTCTTGGGCTGGGGATTTAGCTCAGTAATTCCGCTGCCTGCCTCGCAAGTGCAAGGTCCCAATTTTGATCCCCGGTACCATAAATGAATGAATGAATGAGGTTCTCCCACTTTTTATAAGTTGCAGGTACTTTTCTGACCCTTTGTTTCATCATCTGGGTTGTAGAAATTAGTATACCAGGGCTGGGGATTTAGCTCAGTGTTGCTGCTGCCTGCCTCGAAAGCTGAAGGTCCTCAGTTCGATATCCAGTACAAAAAAAAAAAATTAATATACCAACCTCAAAATAGGATTTTGAGAATGAAATTAAGTGATTTTGTGTAGAAAGGGATGAGTCTATGCAAAAATGTTTGAAATGATGCCTGTTGTGTTGTATTAAATAAGTAGTAGTGCTTATTATCTGTAAGGCATATTTCCTTTGATCATTTACTAAAAGCTACCTCTACAGGTATATTTGTGCCCAATTCCTCACTGGATTAGGACAGTAGACTCAAATGAGGCTTCTTGGTCTTACTACTTTGTTTATAAATAATTACTCTAAATGGGATTTAGCTCGGTGGTGCCACTGCCTGCCTAGCAAGTGCAAGGTCCTGAGTTCCATCCCTGGTACCAAAAAAAAAAAAAAAAAAAAAGATTTGTGTCTCAGGTTCTCATAGGATGTAACTCATGTTCACTGGGATGGAACATTGACAGATAATATTGATTTGCTGAATTGAGAATATCTATGCTGTAATGGAGACCAGGTATCACCTGCTATTAATATAGAGAAAAGTAGAAATAACTAAATTTATAAAATTACAGAAAACTTGGGTAGCAAGGAACTTGGAATATTCTTTCTTGCTTCCATTTAATCAAGATTTTATTTTTTCTGTCTACTTCTGGATGTAGCCTCTAAAAGTTATTTTCTTATACACTCAGAATGTTGTAAAATTTTTAGCTAGGCATGGTGGTGGCATGCACCTGTAATCCTAGCACTCAGAAGACTGAGGCTGAAGGATCAACGCAAGTTCAAGGCCAGCCTGGGCTAGAGTGAGCTCAAGGCCAGCCTGAACTATATGGTAAGACCCTGTCTCAGAAAACAAACAAAACAGAATAAACAAAGAAATTTGAAAGTTTTTTTAATGAATATCAGTCTTATAATTATAGCCGGGCGTGGTGACGCATGCCTGTAATCCCAGCACTCGGGTTCGAGACCAGCCTGGGCTACATAGTGAGTTCCAGATCAGTCTCAACTACACAGTGAGACCCTGTCTCAAACCCCCCCCCAAAAAAAATTATAATTATATATTACAAATTATGGGCCGGGGATTTAGCTCAGTGGTTCCGCCACCTGCCTTGCAAGCGCAGAGACCCAAGTTCGATCCCCAGTACCAAAACAAAAAACAAAAAACAAAAACAAAAAAAAAACAAATTATAGTCAGATTTGTTGTTGCTTTTTTGAGACAGGGTTTTGCTATGTAATTCAGACCTGGCCTTGAACTCACCATGTATCCCAGGCTGGCCTCAAATTCAGAGTGATCCTGCTCCTGCCTCAGCCTCCCGAGTGCTGGGATCACAGGCATGTGCCACCATGGCCAGCATAATCAGATCTTATAATCAGATCAGATCACATTCAGTACTAGCGAAAAAAACTAAAGGAGCTTGTTTGTATTCTTCATGTTACTTAGAACAAAATGCTACCTGTTAGAAGTGTCTACTTACTTACAGATTTACCAGGATGAGCTTGTAGTAAGTGTAGGCTTGTTTTAATTCTGATTAAAATTATTCCATCCATAGGCCAGGGATTTAGTTCAGTGGTGCCGCTGCCTGCCTCACAAGTGCAAGGTCATGAATTCTATCCCTGGTACCAAAAAAAAAGTTACTCCATCCCTGCCAAGGAAACTACTATTAAGCCAGGCATTCTTGCTAAGTAGGTACATTTGGCCCCCCCAAGTTAAGGAGGATGCAAATTGGGTGGCAAGGATCAGTGGATTTTGCTGGAAGAGTCAGAATAAAAAGGAGTAGTGCCTTCTGAGGTGGATGGAGTTTACATGAACCACATAATTTTTGTTTGATTCCTAAGAATTGTATCAGTAGTCCAGGTGGAATGGTCTGGGCTTGTGTGTTTTCAGTTTTCTGTTTAAATCTATATTAAAACTTCCATGGGAATAGTCTGAGGCAGCAGTTATAGTAAGAATAAGAGTCAGTACTATTTTGAGTCACACCCAGAAGGAAAAGGTTCTCCCCTATTTTGTACCCTCCTTCCAATGCAGCCCTCCCTTAAAAGAATGATAACAAGGACTTAGCTGCAAATACCCTTCCTCTTCCAGTTTATTCTGTTGACGTTGAAGATTTTTAAAGGCCTGAGGAATAGCTACAGCTTAGGCCTGACTGCATCAAAGGGCATTCTTACCTCCATAAATAAGTATTGGTTAACTCTTTGTCCTCTGGAGCCTCCCCACTCCCATCTCTCCACTGATTAGAAGACTTGTTAAGACTGTTTAGGACCCATTATTTCTAGGCTAGCTCATTCTAAAGCTTAGGGGCTCTCTGTGCAAAACCTTTCCACCACTGTTCTCCCCACCCCCCAACAAAAACCTGTCCACCTTCCATAATCTTTCCTCCCACTCTTTCACCTTAAACCTTCCCAGCTCTAATTAGATAACTGGAAATTTAGGAATAAAATTTCTGGCCGAAGAGATTAAAGCCTGGGTCATCCATCCTTCTTGGACCTTGTGACAGTTCATGTGAGTGGGTTAAAGCAGCCAGGAACCTTGGTTACTTTGCCCTACAATCTAATTTTTTTTTTCCTTTCTGTTTTTTTTCCTTACAGGCAAAGAAGAGGAAAAGAGCAGAGCGCTTTGGGATTGCATGATGAAAAGTTCTTGATGCTTTTTCTTCTTCGGTGGTTTCCATTTCTGCTTCTTCTTGGTTACATATATACCTAAGTGCACGGTCACATGCCTACGTCCTGCCTTGAAATGAGGGAGCATGTACCCCAGGTACATCCATGAACTCCAGCAGCAATTTGACCTACTGCTGTTCTAACTTTAAGGTTGATGTGTTTTTGTTTTTAATTATTTTGCTTGTTAATAAAAAAAAAAAGAAAAGACAAAAATGTGTTTTATTAGGTGCTCCTTTAAGTTCTTGGAGCCCGATTAGACCAGGTGAGAACTTCAGGGATAAATATTACAGAGAATTAGCTATAATGCCTTTATCCCTTAAAAAAGAAATCAAGGATCAAATCTCTTTGTTAAGCCTATTTATTATTTCCTTCTCATACTCTCAGGCATTCTTTTAACCTCTTTACCTTCAGTAGTTTGGAGTGATCCATTGAGATAAAATAGGGAAAACAGGTTGAGGAGGTTGAGGAGATACAAAGGATATAATACAAGGTCTGTATTCTTTATTGTAAGCTGACGTTGATGTCTTGTTGGATAAAGTGGAATCCAGAATCCTACAATAAGAAAGGCCTATGCCAGGTGTGGTGGTGTACGCCTGTAAACTCAGTACTTGGAAGGCTGAGGCAGGACAATCACTGTGAGTTTGAGACCAGCCTGGGCTACACAGTGAATTCCAGGGCACTCTCAACTACATAGTGAGACCCTGTCTCCAAAAGAAAAAAAATCCTAGCTGGGTGTGGCAGTGAACACCTATAATCCCAATGCTCAGTAGGGAGAGTCAGATCAATCTCCACATTTCCAAGGTCATCCTGAACTACATAGTGAGACCTTGTCTCAAACAAACCAAAAGAAAGGCCCTGTTTTCTGGTGGCTGGGCATGATACTCTGGGCAGTATGTGGGAGGAATCTTGTTGAAATTCAGAAAGGTAGGTGGGCTAGATACCCTCTCAGAGATAGAAGAGAACTGGGGGTTCAAAGGATGTCAGGGGTATTGAGCATTAATCATTAATTAGAAGCCCTATGCAGTGGGACTAGATGTTTTTATTTATTTATTTATTTTCCTTTTATGGAGTTGGTAATCAAACCCAGGGTTTTGCACCTGGTAGGCAAGTGGTCTACCACTCATCCACATACCCAGCCCCATTTCTGCTTTGTAGTCAGTCCCTATGCTGATTTATCCTTTTCTGTTACAGAAAGATACTATTGCAGTTTTTTGTTTCTTTGTTTTGAGACAGTTTTGCTATGTCTTCCTGCCTCAGCCTCCCAAGTGCTGAGATTATAGGCTGTATCACCATGCCCAGCTACTATTGCAGTTTTGATTTTAATATTTCTTGGATGTTACTAAAAAATCTTTTTTTTTTTTTTTTTTTTTTTTTTT